TGAACTATTAGAGCACAAGAGACCCTAGTCCTTGACGTAATTGCAAAATATAATCGCGCTCAGCACATTCCTGCAAAATCTAATCGTTTGTAGCATGACGTGGCGGATCTAACCTCAAATTGTACTTGTTGTTAGCATATAAGTAAAAAATTATATAACGCGTGTACTTCATTTACGCAATGAGAGGCATTTGATGCAAAAATGAGTGAGATGGAAATATCATTTCTGCATAAGTCTATCTTGTAGTTCGGTCCGTCAAATCTACGCATGTCTATAATTACACAGCACTCATTGGTCGTCGAGCATCGTCCGTCCACTACGAAAACGAGATTATCGATCGTCTAAAAACCATGCTTACAACCCACCAATCACCTCAACTGCATTCAACGCATGCGCACTAGACCAAACCAGGCTGAGCGATAGACTTATGCGAAGTTGATATATCTGTCTCACACATTTTTGCATCAGGGTACAGCAAGAACACGCGTTATATATTTTTTTACTTATTTGGTTGTTAGAAGGTAATTATTATTGTTAGTGATCCCATTAAGAAATATTTAAAATGTTCCCCTTAAACTGATAATTCAGCACTTAAACTAGGGAGCAAATAATTTTCAAACACACACATTCGATTTAAATGTCATTTATGTCAACATAGTCTATTATAGAACTCTGCAAACTTATTAGTGGGATTTTAAGGTGTACTTAACGCTTCTGGTTACTAGGAGAAGGACATATACAGTCACGTTATTAAAATAGGTAGGTATGCAATATTAGGCAGTATCCTAATATTAGGCGCCTTTCCTCTACATGGGCCATCACAACAGCTTTAATAATAATAAATAAATAAATAAAATAAAGGAAAAATAATAAAAGTTCAGCCGACTGCTCGCAGTAGAAGGAAGATACAAAATGTTAAAGTGGGAGGAAAGAGAATTCAAAGTGGGCGCCCCATTTATATGAATCAGCCACGTTGTGCTGTCAACGATTAGATTTTGCAGGATTGTGCTGAGCTCAATTATATTTTGCTATGCTAACGTCTCTTGGTGCTCTAATGGTATATATTTGGTAAAATCGTGCTGAGGCCGATTATATTTTGCAATGACGAAGTTGGAGGCGTGTCTTGTGCTCTAATAGTTTATATTTAGTAAAATCGCGACCCGGATTGGATCTCCAATGAGCTAGCATTCGGTCCTTTTCCCATCTGTTCTTCTCTTCGGAGACAAGGCTTTTCATTAGTCCACAAAAAGGCTCTGGGCCTTGGAAACGTGTTACAGCGCCTTGCTCACACACGTCATGGTTGCTTTGTTTCTCCCAGCCAACTGGCCACAAGTTGCTTAAGGATATTTTTATTTTTACCCTCCTGAACTAGCTGAATGCTCTTGATGGCTCCCAGAGCCTTTAGAGCCGCTTGACTGTTGGACAGTATGTGAATGGGCACAGATGTTTATGGCCAGTACCTAGGGGGCGTTTAACCCATTGCTGAGGAAAGTTTTAGGTTTGGTCCAGTTAATCCCAGGCCGACTCTTTCCGTTAGCTTCTAACCATCCGTGTACTACAGTACGATGCATTATCTGCTTATAGTAGCTTTACGTGCTTCCATGATTGACGTTCTCTTACATCCACTTCATATGGAATGTCAAAGTCCAGTGATGTTATCAGTTATCATTTAATCTGTTGGTTTACTTTGGGACTCGAGCTTTATAGACTTAAGGATGTGGCGATTCAGATCACCAGGTTTATATCTTTTTGTATGGAATAGCCTATAGGCATCTATTCTTGCCCCCCTTTTCACATATAGGTGGAAAGGAGGCATGTTCAGCAGTGCCTCTAGGGCTACGGTGGGGCAGGTTGACATAGCCACTGATATTTCCAGACTGATCGGCTTTTATACTTTACGTAGACTGTCCTCTGCAGTAATTCGCACAGTCTTTATATATACCATACCATACGATACCAACAAGGCCTACGTGACAATGGGTCTGACAACCAGTTTTTCCCACAGGTTTGCTGCGGCATGTACGAGTGGTCGCCGTAGCTCGTGATATTGTTTTGTTCAGATGGTTGTTCCATGTAAGTTTGCGGTCCAGGTTAAGCCCTAAATACTTGACTTCATCCGAGAAAGATATAATTTTGTGCCATTTAGAGTGGGGTATCGCAGATTCAGCCTTGATCTTAGTTTCCGTGCTGTGCGCCTCTGTCATATATGTCGGCGTGCCGACTGGACTAGGTTATTCTTTACAATACAAATTTTAGTTTAAAAAAAAACCGGTTGCTTGCATACCAAAAAGGCACACGGGAAACCAATTTTGAACAGCTTATACCGGACTAAAAGATTAGTATAACCAGATGTTGAAGAAGCATTGTCCCAAATTGAGGCAGGCTCTCAGTATTTCAGCAAGCTAGACGTCACATCTGGATTTTATCACATTCCACTGGAAAAGGAATCGCAACTGATAACAATATTTATAACGCCATTTGATCGCTATACATTTAAACGCTTGCCGATAGGAATCACTTCGGCAACAGAGAGGTTTCAAAGACAAATGTTAGGAGGACTAAAGGGAGTAGTCAATGTAGCAGATGACACATTAGTAGGTATTTGGTAAGAACAAGGATGAACACGACTCTCGTTTGAAGGCGGCGCTAACACGTTTCCAAGAAAAAAATATAAAAACCAAACAGACATTTCTAGGTCATAGCGTTTCAGATTCAGGAAATGAAATCGATGAAGAGAAAATTCGAGCCATTTTAGACATGCAACCCCCCAACGAAACAAGCGGAGTTAGAAGACTGATGGGCTCCATACAGGTTAACACTAAATTTCTTCCAGGATTAGCGGAAATGTCCGACCCCTTAAGACAACTGTTACAAAAAAATAACGAATTTATGTGGGCACAGCCGCAACAGCGAGCATTTGAAAGCATACAAAAAGCTCTTACGACAGCTTCAATTTTGCTCTAGGACGTCTAACACGCTGGTACGACGTTGGCATATTTGGTACAATTTTCAATTTTTTTATTTTTTACAAATTCTCAAAGAGTCTTAGCCTACTGCCTACTTAGTCTAATGTCGATGTTCTAATTAACTTGTATTTCTGTATCCAAATTCGATATAACAATAATTTTTGATTAGTAAATAGATGGCATCACCAATGTACGTTTAACGTAGTTTGTGTTTAGTTTAGGTTTTCGGCAGAAAATAAAGAAAAATCAAAGCCTCGTACTTTAAATCGGTTTTCCTGATCGGAAAAGCGGAAAATCCAAAGAAAAACCATTGAAAAATGACATTCCAAAGCCTACTTGATGAGACTTAAGTTTTTGTTACTTACCCCGTTGAAAAACTCGAAATTTTTGATACAAAATGAAGGAAACTCAAAGCCTCGTACTTTAAATCGATTTTCCTGATCAAAAACATACCGGAAAAGTGGAAAATTCGAGGAAAAACTGAATAAAAATGTAAACACGTCAAATGAAAATGGCCGACTGTCAAAAATGACAAATAATATTTATTACAAGGCCTCCTTGATTGAAGTTAGCGACAAGCGGTGTTGCCACATCAAAAGCATTTTAAATGGGATTTTGCTAATTATGGCATTTAAAAGTGGAAATTTTTGATCAAAAGCGACGTTGCCATAATTACAATCTCAAACATAATGTTTTTCCAGATTTTGGTGAGTAAAACAAAGAAGAAGATAAGGTAGGATACATTAGTAAAAAACCAAAAGCGATTATAAATGAGTAAGATAAAGAGCGAGATAAAGTAGGAAACAATTTAAATGGTCAGTTGGTCGAGCCAAACTATCATGAGAGTAAATTTTCAATTGTTCCCGGTTCAAACACTTGGAATAATTACTCAATTTTTTTTTGACAACTGACAAGCCTACATACAATATTATGACTTTTGACAATTGAAGAGTTAATTTTCAGGACCACCTACGATTGTTATGACTTTTTTTGTCAATTGATAGCCTTGTGATTCAGATTGAAGCCACCAACGGCAACGTCGCCACATTTTAACGGTAATTTTGGAGCATTTGTAATTGTAAATGTAAAACGTTGACAACTGGCAATTGACATCAAGAAACGATTGTTATGATGTTGTAGGCTGATTAAAATTTTAACTTTTGGCAACACTGTAACACTAGAGGATTGAAATTGCCTAAGACGATTTTATCTCAGGAACTATAAGTGCAAATGAGCTGAAATTTCCAGGGATTGTATCCCTTTATTGAGATAAATTTCAGTGAAAATTTCAGCTTTCTATTTATAATAGAAAAAAATGTATGCCCTTCCAAAGTTTTCCAAAATCTAAATCATAAGGTAGCTACCCACCTTCTTACTAAAACGATAAAATTTCAAATTTTTTTTTGTTGAGATTTTGTATCCTAATGGTCAATTAACATTCCCCAAACTCCATACACAAAATTATTCTCAGATTTGAAGCCGAAATCTATGAAAAAATGCACCCCAAATTGCTTAACACGATTTTATCTCATGAACTATAAGTGCGAATGAGCTGAAATTAACACTAAATTATCGATTATTTTCGTTCTGGAAGTTGGTTACTGACTATTTCGAACAACTCAGATTCGACTGTTCGATAATACTCTCAAATAAAGGTTGGCAAATGGTTAATCCGACGTCGGGTTGTTTTATGCGACGTTGGCCTGACGTCCAACTTCTGTTTTGAACTAGGAAACATAATTTCTGTAAATTGAATCCCATGTGAAAAAATTTCTCATGTGGCGCTATCTCTAAGTAGGTAACTGAATTTTTTACAGAAGTAGTCGATCATAAACTTGACACATATTGATGATAAATCGAACTTTGTCCTCCTATGGGAATCCAATAGAAAAACAGACTTTTTCTCTTCCTACTACCACGGAACTCAATTTTTCTAAAAGCATTAGAGCTAATTAACTAAAATTCTGAAAAAAAGTTTCAAGAGTCTCCTTTTAGCAAAAAGGAATTTTATTTTATAAATTTTAGAAACTTTACCTGGTGGTTTTATACGATTTTCGCTGGTGATTGCTTCAACTAAACCTTGAAGCAAAAGTTTTTCCGCTTCATTTTTCAGTCTTTCTTTCTCTCGAAAGCAATATGGTAGAATGATTGTCCCGTCTCTCAGGAAATCCAATACGTATCTGAAACAAAAATACCTTTGAAAGTTTCCCAAGGAAAAACTGAGTTTATGTAGTTACTGAGAATTGTGGTAATAAAGACTGCATTGAACATTTTGAAGTTTCTCACGGGAAAAATATATTACGTTTTAATACTGATTGCAAAAGAATTTATTTTCTAATAATCTTTTGTTATAGTCGCAGGAATTTCCCAAGCGAATTATTATATCAAAGAAACGAATTTCAAATTGTAGAAAATTGGCTGGCTGTATGTATGGTCCCATAAAAGAAGTTAAGGGCTTTAAAGCTTTTTGATATTAAATTTCTCAAGCTGGCAGCTTTTTGGAACGGGAAAATTTATGTCGATTTCCCCAAGACCCTTAAAATACAATTTACGTTTATACCTATTATGCAGTTAAAAGCCTTGACATTGTAGATTTGTTGATAACGAAGCTGTGATATCGTCTCAAACTTTATTTACATTAGAGAGTGGCGCATATGTTTGGAAACCGACCCCCCCCCCCCAAACAACTCCAGTTTGCGTTTAACCTGATGTTATCTACATTTTGTTCGGGGCGGCACAAGGCATTTAGAACCGTTCGATAATAATTTTATGCGTGAAAGCCTGTTTTGGCTTCAGGAAATTTGTTTCGTCGAGAAACTGTATACATAATTGAATTGAGGAGCTATTTCCATGAAAAATCTTCTAAAAGGACAACAAATCCAAGAAACAGCGAAATTGAATTTCGTTCGCTCTGAAAGGAAGTTTTAAGCCAACTCTCCCCCATTAGCCTAGTTTCGCCTTAAAAATTATAGTCTAATGCCAAGCCAGATATGTAAGTAATTTCAACTTCCTTTTTTGAAGTTAATTTTAATAAAAATTAAGCTCCAAAGCAAAGCTACAACGATGGCTCGTTAAGCTTAGGGGGGGCAGAATAAAACGATAATACGAAAACTTGCTCGAAAATTGCAGAGTTTGAAGAGTTCTCATAATAATAATTTGTCTGATCGAGAAACTATGACATTTTCAGTCAATTTTGTAACGATGCAAGGGTGTCAATTCTGAGATCCACTAGCGGTTTGTTTTGATTGATGAAAAGACCCTACTCAATAAATCCTGAAAGTTTGAAGTCTTTCTGATTCCTTGAAGTATTTTTCAGAAGCTTCCAAAAGTGATTTAATAGATTTTTCACATGATTTTTTTTTGCATTTAAGTGAGAAAAAATTCAGAATTTCTCAGTTCCCGGCAGATCGCAAGTCTCCGATCAAGGAAGCGTTTGGAAAAGGCAGCGATTGGAGGGTGTTGAGAATCCCATGGTAATATTAAGCTACCAAGGAAGACTGAAACTGCATATTATGACATATAATATGAGAACTCTTCCATCTCACTGAAAAGTGTTGGAACTAGAAGAAGAACTTGAACAAATACACAGGGATGTGATTGGAATAAGCGTAATCCGGAAAAGAAGAGAAAAACAAATCCTACTGAAGTCAGGAAATATGTAGTGTGAAAAAACAGCTTTGTAGGAGGAGTCGGACTTCTGATAAATAGGCGACATGAACGCAATATAATTGAGATTAGCATCGTAATATTGAAATTAAATGAACGATACAATGTCAAGATTATCCAAGCCTGCACCCACATCCCAAAGTTCGGACAAAAATATTGAAGACTTCTACGAGGACCTTACTCAAGCAATCTCAAGTCCTTCAGCGTACTTTATCATGTTAGTCGGAGACCTCAATGCCAAACTTGGAAAAAAACAAAATGACACGGAAACACCACTGGGAGTGGACCGATATAGATGACGCTGAGAAATATCGAAAAACAATAAATAAAAATTTGAAAGACCCTGATTTAATGAACATCGAAGATCTAAATAGAAATATTGTAGAGTCAATCAGCATAGCCCAAATTAAACACTGCTCGAAGCCTTCAGAAAAAGAAGAAAAACTGACTTTAAATACCAAATAATTAATGAAGCAGAGGAAAAAATTACTGGGGGAATACCCACAAAACAAGGACGAGCTAAAACAACTAAATAAAGATATAACGAAAGCTGCTAGGGCTGACATTAGAAAATTTAATAATAAATAGGTCACTAAGGTCATAGAAGAGAATAAAAGCATGACTGTATGTACTACGAAATAAACTAAACACGGGAAAGACCAAAATAACCAAATTAGAAAATGAAAGAGGACAAGTAACAAACAACAGGAAGGAAATATTAAAGACTTCTATACAAATCACTATAGTAACAAAGGCCAGAAAGAAACACCGGAAAATATACCCCATATATTAAATCAGGGATCAGAAGAAATGCCACCGATAAGCGAAAAAGAGGTCTCAAGGTCAGAAATGAAAAACAACAATGCACCGGGCGAGGATGGTGTTGTCGCAGAGGCTGTGAAACTAGGAAAAAAAAAAGTTACTCAAAGTGATAACTGGATGTCTTGACGAAGCAACAACCCTGGAGATGTGGAACAATGCCATCATCATTATTATTATGCATAAGAAAGGCAGAATCACAGACTTGCAAAACTACAGACCGATTAGTTTGTTAGGGCAGCTTTTCACTAATGATCAAATAGAGAAAGTCAGAATCGCTTGTGGTAAAAAACATGAAAAGCAAAATTTACTGAAATGGTTTTTGAAAATCGGAAATCATCGGCGAAATTATGACACTTCACGAAAACGTAACGCAACGTAAGGCAACTCAATGTACCATAAATTCAATAGCTGAGAAAATTAGGTCCAAAATAAAATTTAATATTAAAATTAAATATTGGCTCATCTCTATTCATCAAATGACGATGAAGTTGAAGAGATATTATGGCTTGGCGTTATTGAAAGGTCCAACGATCCCTGGTCTAGCCCTGTGTGCCTGGTTAGGAAAAAAGATGGGAATTTTCGATTTTCGCAAACTCAATCTGCAAACCAAAAAAGATGCCTACCCAATTCCCTATATTTCTACTATTTTGGACAATTTACGCAATACCTGATACATCAGCTCGATTGATGTATGCAACTTCCTCTAGCCGAAAATTCTCTTGAGTATACAGCTTTCACTGTTCCTGGAAGAAGCTTGTTCCAGTTTAGGAGGGTGCCTTTTGGTTTATCTAACGCCCCTGCAACCTGAGTGCGTATTCTGTAACGCCATAGACATAGAAAATCCTTTCTAGGCAAGAAATTTCTTTCTATTATCACAAAACCTTATTCTGTATGCCAGTTCGGTAGCACTCGAGTCTCGTTCGGTGTTCGGTCGCAATAGAGAAATAGAAAGACCCGTTTAGGTCTTTCTATGGAAAAATTGTTTCTATTTTTTTCTAACACATTATCGTGAAACGTTCAATTTCTGTCAGAGTTTATGTTTTGTTTATTAGTGGTTATGTTTTGTCATATTTTGAATAGTTCTGTTTTGAATATTTTCCAGAGATATTTCCCAATTTCGTATTTGGGAAGTAAAATAATCGCCTTTAATATTTCCTTTTCCCTGAAATGTTATTTTAGCCTTAGCATTTAGTAAAAATACTGTGGTAAAATAGGGCAAATCACAAAAGGCTACCATCTTACCACTCCCGGAAATTCGAATTGGGCCATGAATTCCTCTTTCTTGAGCTGCTTCTCAGCCTCGGTTAGGGTAAATTTAACCTACTGAGGAACAATGGCCTCTAGAGCCAAATATACTTCATCACTTATTGCCCTGGTAAAGGTGGACTGAGACATACATGTATTGAAGTCGTCTCCTACCGCCTACTGATAGGGGCCTCTAGCGAAAAATCTTAGAGCACCCAATACTCTAATTTGAATTGGGATTCTTCCAGCTCTAATCACAGGAGCCATGTGTGGAGTGAGGTCCGTGATCAGCCGCTGGGCGAGATCTCTGCTAAGGCGGAAACACCTCCGGAATTCCCTTTAGGGCCTATGAAAGGCATTATACTCATCTCGCAAGGTTATCCTTTCCAATCTTAATTGTTCTTGACGCTCTTCTTCTTTCGCCTCGTCCACAAAATACATGAATATAGGGTCCATAATGACTTATATCGATAATAAAATATTCAATATTGAAATTGAACAGTTGATAACAACTGACAATTTAGAACACCACAAAAATAATGAAACTCTCTAGAAAAGCGCAATGTTTTCACGTCGTATAGTTTACGATATTTCTATTTCGACTTGACCCGAATCAATTTGGAAAGATGCTTACAGAATTTTAGTTTCTTATATTTCCTGTCTATGTCTATCTCTTCTCTATGTCTATTTCTATTCGTTTACAGAATACGCCACCTCTGGCAACGTATAGTTGACACTATTTTAGGCCCTGAACTTTAGCCAAATGTCATGGTATATCTAGATGATATCGTCATCTTGTCTAACTCCTTTTCTGATCATCTGAAATTGTTGGGAATAGACCTATCTATTTTACCAGACAAAGAGGTAATAATACGAAAACTTCATTAGGTAAAAAATGACACAGAACGCTCATTGCGCAAGACGAGGCAAAACGTACCAAATTATGTTAGACTTACGTATAGCAATCCATTCTTTTTATTTGCATGGGATAAAATAAGAAGGAGAAAGATCGCGTGTTGTGCAATGTAAAATTTCAAATAACTTTCAAATGTCACTTGCCAAGCTGTGTCAAGTTGAATATCAATCGTTCTTTTATTCTTGTCAGACCACGGGCAATGAACAAGGACAAGGAGATGCCCAGCGTGCAAAACGAACACCTCTCACCTGTACTAGTTAGCCAATAGAAAGGCATTGCCTCGTGTTGCGCGCGCATACCAGGTAAAAATAGGTCTATTGTCTTCGATAGAATACGTGATAAGATAAGATAAGATAAGATAATTTATTGGTAATAACATATGTATAAAACACATTTTTACAAGTCAAGACAAAAGTACAGTTAGGTAAATGTGAGGGTGAATGTCGGAAAATTTCTCAACATTACCCAAGTATTATATATAGTATATTTATACGTTCACAATTATAGTTATTATTATTATATTTTCACTAA